AAGAGTGGAACCAAGATCGTCGGGTCAGCTCGATGTACTTCGCAGGAGAACGCCGTCTGAGAGTTTTGGGGGTTCTTTTGGGCCTTCCTGGGGCGTTCTTGGGCCGTCCCGGGGCCTTCTTGGGCCGTCTTGGGAAGCTTGGGCCCTCCTGAGGTTTTCTGAAACCATCTGGGGCCCTCTTGGGGGCCTCCAATGGCCTTCTTGGGGGTCTCCCATGGCTTTCGTGGGTCTCCCTTGGGAGCCTTCTGGGGGCATCCTGGGCTTTTTGCGGGCAGTCTCGGGGCTCTCTGGGGCAGTCTTGGGGCCCTCTTGGGCCGTCCTCAGACCTCCTGGGGGACCTTTTGGGCCGTCTTGGGGCGATATCGGGGGCTCATGGGGCCGTCTTGGACGTTGCGAAGTCCCAAACAGCGGGTATGTGAAAGTGTTATATATATATATATAAATATGTATTCCCCGAGGGCATGTGACGATTTTTGTTTTTTTTCGGGACTCTCTTAACAGCCTCTTGGGGCATCTTGGGGGCCTCTTGGGCTGTCTTCAGACCATCGAGGTTCCTCTTGGAAAGCGCTTGTGCTGTCTTGGGTCTCTCTTGCGCCTCTCCGATGACCCCTCTGATCGCCTTGAGTCTGCTTGCGATGCCCAGCAAGGCGCCGTGGGAGGCCCAGAAGGGCCAGCGGACCTTTTCCAAGGGCGTTTAAGGGCCAGGGCGTTCCTGGGAGGGGGGTCCGAGCAATACAGATATTTGAATTGGTGTGCATGTATGTATGTATGTATGTATGTATGTATGTATGTATGTATGTATGTATGTATATGTATATGTATATGTATATGTATATGTATATGTATATGTATATGTATATATATGTATATACATACACATTATCTGACACCAAGGATGCCCCCCACCCCCCCGAATAGAATTTGGACGGCTCCGGCGACCCCTTCGTGGGCACTTTTCGGGCCTTCTGGGCCTCCCGAGTAGGCTGCCAGATTGCCCAAGAGGCTCCGAGGTCACCCCGGGAGGGTCCCAAGACTGCCCAAGAGGCTCCCAGGTCATCTCGGGAGGGCCCAAAAAGCGTTCCGAGATGCTCCCAAATCGCTTCAATGCAGGCCGAAGGCCCCCAAGACACCCCTAATACAGTTCCAAGCCCCAAGCGTGCATGTTTGCCATGTTCGCTTCCGTGGATCTTCCCAACGTCCGAGACGGCCCAAGAAGGCCCCAAAACAGTTCCAGAGAGCCCCAAGACGGCCCGAGAGAGCCACCAGACGGTCCAAGGGGCGGCCAAGACGGGCCAAGAGGCCCCAAGCTTGCCCAAAGGGAGTTCAAGAGACTGCACAAGATGCTCCCAGGTCATCCCCGGCGGGCCCCAGGAACGCTCCGAAAGGCCCCAAGGTGGCTTCACACAGGCCGAAACTGCCGAAGGGCCCCAAGACACCCCTACACAGCTCCAGCAGGCCCCCCAAGGAGGCCCCAGGAGGCCAAACGTGTCCCATTCCTTTTGGAAACGTATACTTTCAGCATGTTCGCTTCCGTGGATCTTCCCAACGTCCGAGACGGTCCAAGAAGGCCTCAAGACTGCTCAAGAGGGTCCCAAGACGGCCTGAGAGGGCCCCAAGACGGTCCATGAGCGTCCAAGAAGGCACAAGTGGCCCTAAGCACGCCCAAAGGGAGCCCCCACAGACCCGAGAGAACCCAAGAAGGGGCGTAGGGCACTATCTTGGGTGGCGCGGCTCCCACCATGCCTCCGAGCCCTCCAGGAGGCCTCCAGGACCTCCCAGACGGCCCCCACAATCGCATACGTTTCACAAGAATACCAAAAGAAACTTAGGACAGCGTCCGGGCTAATCCTTCCTGCCGCAAGTTGTGGACACCAGCCCCCCTGTACCCTCGGCACGCGCGCGCCCACTCGCGCGCGCGTGCGCGCGCGCTCCCGTCGTCCACTTGCCGGCATGTCTTGCGGTTTCCGTCCAATTCCCTGGCCTTGTCCACGCTTCTTGGTCCAGCACAGAGACCGCGTTCGGCCCACACATCGCTCCCACCATTCACTGTACCAAGACTTTAAAGCGAAGCGCAGCGAGCTTCAAGTGTTGTATATATAGTTATGTATGTATTTATATATAGATCATTATATCTCTCTCTCTCTGTTGTTTTTCTATCTCTTTCTTTTGGTTCAATCATCTCTCTCAGATCATGGTCGGCTTGGATGGCGTTCCCCGCTCGCCTAGCGGCTTTCTTGATTTTCGCAGCGTTTGATTCCGAACTATGTGGGAACAAATGTTCGGCTTCGGGGTTGGCGGGAAGGTGCTTCCAGGCTCCAGGAGCGTCGAAAACAAAACGTTCCAGAACGAAGAGCGAGTTCACAGCAAACGATAGTCGTCGGCTGAGAGCTTGTCGCAGGTGCCACTGGCGCAGCACAGCGTGTCAGATGACGTCGGGTGCGGCGGCGAGATTCATGTGGTTGGGGGAGGAGGAGGAGGAGGAGGAGGAGGAGGAGGAGGAGGAGGAGGAGGAGGAGGAGGAGGAGGAGGGGGGGGGATGATGATGAGATGATGATGATGATGATGATGATGCTGATGATGATGATGATGATGATGATGATGATGATGATGATGATGATGCTGATGCCTGATGCTCATGCTGATGCTGATGCTGATGGTGATGCTGATGCTGATGCTGCTGATGATGATGATGATGATGATGATGATGATGATGGTGGTGGTAGTGGTGGTGGTGCTGCTGGTGATGATGATGATGATGATGATGATGAGGAGGAGGAGGAGGAGGAGGAGGAGGAAGAGGAGGAGGAGGAGGAGGAGGAGGAGTAGGGTCGGCAACGTGGACCAGAGGCGTGGGGGAAGGGCAGCAGAGGACGCCAGGCGCGATGGCCAGCGTGGCGGGCGAGGGCGTCGGGGCGGGGGGAGATGCGCGGAGGAAGGCAACGGGTGCCTGGCGTGGTGGCAGGCGCGGCACGGCGGCGGCGGGGCACGACATCCTCACGGTGAGGGGCTTCGACCTCGATGGGTGGGCAAATGTCGGGCGCGGTGGCAGGCATGGTAGGTGCCATGCAGGTGAAACCCAACAAGTAGCCCGAGGCGTGGTGGATCGAGTAGTGGGTTTAGAGCATCAGCGCGGGAGCATGGTGGCAAGCACGAAGAGCCCTGGCCCCAGAGGTGGCCAACAAAAACAAAGAGCAGGGCTGGGGAAACATCGGCGCTGAGAGCGCGGGCGAGAGGGCAGGGGCACCGGGCATGGTGACAAACGGGGTGCGCCCCGGGCCAAACATGCAAACAGTGTGTGCATGTGTTGTGGGGGGGGGGAGCGGGGGTACACGCTCACCAGGACAACAAAGAGGAAGGTGATGTATCTTGGCAGCGGAACCAATGGAGTCAACATTGTAGCGGGGACAGTTTCTGGCCAGCTTGCTCCCGCACGCCACTGGAGTCGGCGGATTTATATATCATGCTGCTGTCGCGAATATCAGCGTAGCTTCTGTTTGTGCTGTCCGCTTTCCAGGGTATGGTTTTCTGGTGGTGTTCTCATGTGCCGCCCAAAACGCTTGTCGACTACATTGGTCTTGCGATTGGTGAAGGGTTACAACTTATCGCTCGTTTGGACCTGGGCGAAATCGCGATGCGTAATGCATAGCGTTGGCTTGCGATCGTCGATGCCATCCTAATGTGATGTCTGATCTTACTGTCTGACGTCATGCCTCGCCAGTGCCGACGTTATCCCGTCGTTGCTTCTCACGGTCGGGCGGACATGGCCGACTCCTCGCACGACTTTACGCCTACCACGATGGGCCACTTTTGCAAACGCCATCCAACAGCAGATGCGACCCCGCATGTGGACAGGGTCGACGTCATAGCGAACGTGTTGGTAACTGTGATCTGGGTGGTATATGCCATAGATGCCAGGCGCTTGCCGACCTGGGCTGGGTGACCATCGAATTTCTTGCGGTTCTTGTTTACTCACGCCTACGTTGCCTTGAACATTGATCATGATGGCGACTGCCAGCGGGCTTTTCGTGCCATACGTTACTCTGCACAGGAATCGTCTGCTGGAAGCCTCATGGCTCCTCCTCCTCAGCGCAGCAAGTGTGCCAGTGGCAGCTGCAGTTTCCACACGGCGCGGAAGTCTGACTCAATTCCTGGAAGGCTCGCGGGCTCACGCCGCTGGCCTTCTTGGACGCCTTCGCAGGTCGGTTTCCGCCCCCATGACACCACCCTTCCTTCTCATGATTCAGATTTCGTCAGATGGCCCGCCAATCACTGTTCAGGGTCAGGGGGCACCACGGGGGCCTCGGATCCCTCCGTCAGATCTCCCCTCCCCCAGGAAGCCCCCTCGTCCCTGCCGAGGAGCCCCCCCCTCCCCGTTTTCTCAGGTCGGATTCCGCCCGCCCTCACGCCACCCTTCCTGCGCGCAGCCGGCCTACTCGCCCCCGGAGTTCTGCGCTGCTCGCGTTGTCCTTCCCACTCCTCGTGCGCCTTCAGGGCTCACGGGCACCGCCTGCTCGGGCCGAGTCGACTTTTCGAAAGTAGAATGGACCCCCCCGATCCTCCCCCCCGTCGCCCCTTCGTCCTCCCAACTGCTCCTCATGCTGCTCCTCCTTGCTGCGCTCGCCCTCTGCTCCTCACGATCCTCACCATCACCCTCCTGCTCTCAGCTCTCAGCTCTCCTCCCGTCGTCCTGCCCCCCACACCTGCCGTCACTCCCTCTCCTCCTCCTCCTCCTCCTCCTCCTCCTCCTCCTCCTCCTCCTCCTCCTCCTCCCCGCTCCTTGCCTGTCAGCTTTAGGAGGAGGAGGAGGAGGAGGAGGAGGAGGAGGAGGAGGAGGAGGAGGAGAAGGAGGAGGAGGAGAAGGGGGAGGGAGGGAGGGAGGGAGGGAGTAGCGAGCAGGGAGAAGGAGGTCGCGACGACAGGAGGAGGATGACGACGACCACGATTGCGACGGCAACGACGGCTCCCTGTATTCGTTTTTTTTTTCAGCACGGCCGCGCCAGGTGCGGAGGTTCAGCGTCGGACAGCTGCTGACCACCTTCCACAGAAGGCTTCACTACAGGCCTGAGTAGCTGTCACGGGAAGGAGGGAGGAGGAAGGAGAAAGAAAGTAGCCGAAGAGCATCACATGGTACACACATAAGGTGTGAGGGGATCCGCGCGGATCTCGGACAGTGTATGTTTATGCGACCTTAGGAAGGACAAGTTCGAGGGTATGCGTGCTTGCGTGGGGGCGTGTGCGCATGCGAGCTTGCCGTGACTGGTTGGGTGAAGGCCGTTTTCTGCTTCTCTCGCTGGCGCGTCCTTCTCCGCCGCCTTGTCCTGCTCGTCCTGCACCGCCTCCACGTGCCGTGCAGTGAATCGCAAAGTCGATCGACCAGCCCGTCCAACGCAGACCTGATCACCTGCTGTACTCATGTGCTTCGGGGTGGCGCCCACGGGCCCCAGTCTGTTCCCATCATTGAGCACGGCTCCCCGTCTCCCCCTCCTCGTCCCCTTCCTCTCAGGTGGGTCGCTCGCTCGATCGGACGAGCGCACCACCGCCGAGATGGGCTGTCCCCTCGTGCCCCCCGCCAGGCTCCCGCGGGACACCCCGCTTGACTGTTTTGGCATGGGCGCGGGACCCCCGGAAGAGCATGACGCTCGGCAGGCCACCTTTCGCGGCCAGCCCCGGGCTCGCCGCGCGGCCCTGGCCGACCCTGGGCCGCTCCTGGCTCCGCCCTCGCTCCCCCCCCCTGCCGAGCGGGGAAGGCTCAGAGGCTGAGCCTGCGCGAGCTGGGCGAGGAGTTCCGGCGGTGCCTGGAGGACACTGGCCCCCGTCCCCGGCTCTCCCGCCCCCCTGTCCCCCTCCCTCCTCTTCCTACGCCCGCTGCCCTCCCCTCCCCCGCCCTCCCCCGGACGCTGGAGGAGGCTGGTCAGTGAAATAAGCAGTGGCATAAGCATAACAACTCGGAGGTCCGCGAGGATGGCTCGGATCGGTGTTGGAGCGTCTCCCTGGAGCGCTCCGCGCTGGATCCCCTCCCTGGCGCGCGGAGCACGCCAGGGGCGGCGCTGGAGGCGCCGCCAGGGGAGCCCAGCGCCGATCCGAGGAATCCGCGCGGACCTCCGAGTTGTTCTGTTTATGTCGTCGCGTGGTTCTCTAGTATTGAAACAAACACATCGTGGGATGTCTGGACTTCGAGGGATCGATACGTCGACACCTTGCCGTCGGCGGGGGGCTGGCGGAAGCAGGTGGCAGCAAGACGGGGGCGCTCCGTTGGCGGAGGAACGGCGGACGTCGGCGTTCAGTAAAGGATGTCCCCTTCTCCTCCTCCTCCTCCTCCTCCTCCTCCTCCTCCTACTTCTCCTCCTCCCCCTCCTCCTCCTCCTCCTCCTCCTCCTCCTCCTCCTCCTCCTCCTCCTCCTCCTCCTCCTCCTTTCCCCATCCCCCTCCTCCTCCTCCTCCTCCTCTCCTCCTGTCTCCTCTCTTTCTCCACTCCTCCCCTTCTCCTCGCTTCTCCTCCTCTTCCTCCTCTCTCTCCTCCTCCTCCTCCTCCTCCTCCTCCTCCTCCTCCTCCTCCTCCCCCCTCCTCTCCTCCTCCTCCTCCTCCCCTCCCCTGACGCCCCATGCCTGGGCCACCCCTCGGGGGCGCGGGGATGGCCGCGCCCCGCGGCGCCGCGGCCGGGGCCACGGCGGTTGCCCCTCTGCGAGGGGGGGGCGCGAGGGCCCGAGGATTTTCCGGATTGAGGGGGCAAGAACCCAGACATGATCGTGGTTGGGGCGGGGTGAAGGGAATCGATAGGATGCGGGCCAGAAATTGGCGTGTGGGGGGGCCTTCAGACTGAGCTTTCGGTGGGTGAGGATGCCGGGGCGCGGTGGGGGCGCGGCGGGGGATATCGGTGGGATTCGGACAAGAAAGTGTCGCCTGGGGGGACGCAGCAATGAGCTTCCTGTGTGTGAGGATGCTGGGGCGTGTTGGGGGCGCGGCGGGGAGTATTCGCCGGGCCTCGGACCGTCAAACAACGGTTCAGGCTGAAGAACCGGTCCCGGGGAAAGGGTCAGGATTTCCAGGGACCCCGCATTGAAAAAGCACGCCGTTGCATGTCTGGGTTGCCAGCATGTGCCCAACGGCGAGTTCAGAGTGTTGATTTCCCGATGGCAGCGCGGACCCCGAGGGAGTCGTGGGGCGCCCTGGGGAGTGCAGGGCGTTTGGCAAAACGGCGCCCTGAGGGCTCGAGCAGCAGGAGCTGCTGCCGCATGCATCTGTTGTGCTCGAGGCGCCTGTGCCCTCGCTGCGGCAGTTGCACCCTGCGCACGCCGCACCTGCGGCAGTTCTGAGTTACGCCGTGCTCACGACGCCTTGGGGTCAGCGAGGGAGGGGGAGTGGATCCAGGCCTCCAGCGTCGTGATTCTTTCAGTGAGTGCTGGTGATTGTTCCTCGATCCGATTTTGGCATCTGGAGCTCGTTTCGGGCCCCAGGGCCGTCAGCACGCGACACGCCACGAAACACTGGCCCTGGGGGAGGGGGGTGGAGAGGTTCCAGGGCCACGCCACGAAACAAATGTGACATCTGAGATCCTGGGTGCGGACGCCACACATCACGGCCAATCTTCCACCACCGCAACTACGTAGGAGGCGGATCACCTGAAGTTGCAGCAGACCTCGACCATGTCGGCGCGCGTTCCTCAGGGTCTGACATGCTACCTGTCTCCTGCCACCTGGTACGGTCGGACCGAGGTACGGGAGGGTGCCCGAATGCTCTCCGTGCTTGTTGGATGTTCTTGTGCATCCTGGGGGGGAGTACGCTCGAATGCTCTTCAGTCTGGCTGGCGGGGGACTTCGTGTTCTCAGAGGATGCTCTTCTTCCTCAGGTTCGGCCGTAGCGGTAGTGGAAAGCGGGGCCCTGAAGATAAACAGACGCACATCGATACAAGGGTTCCCACGAGGGCGCGAAGTTCTTCGCGCTTCGCGGTTCTCGTTCCTTCTCCCCCTCCTCCTCGTCCTCCTTTTCTCCCTTTGGGGGGGCGGCGCGAGAGCGCGAAATTCTTCGCGCTCCGCGCTTCGCGGAGCGCGACGCGCGAAGTTGGGAGCCCTTGTAGATATCGGACGTCACCAGTCCGAAGATCCCCCAGGGTGCCGCACCGCCCCGGCCCCGCCGTGCTTCTCGCGGGATGACGGGGGGAGGTCATAGGGCGCCGGCGCAGGCTTGCCGACTGCAGACGTTCGAAGGTCCTGCTCATGAGTGTTTTGGCATGAGCGGCGGGCGAAAGCGGGGTCGACTGTGCGGACATTCGCGCGCAAGCTGCCCGCGTAGGTCGCGCCCAAGCGCCCTCTTCTCCACGCGGCGTGCCTGGCTGGCGGCCCTGTTACGCCGCCGCGTAAGGTCCACGTGCCATCGTGCGCAAGACTTGTTTTACTCGCGTCGCTCACATGCTTTTTGCAGCTGTCTGGGATCTCATAGGGGGGCCCTCGCTACCGCAGCTTGGCTCGCCTCGGGGTCCAGGTCGGAACGCGGTCCAGGACAGGTCTGGGATGTCGAGCTTGAGAGGGGGGAGGATCCTCACACCTGGGGGCCGTGGGCAAAAGCTCACGCGGGGCGCCGCTGCCCCACCTCGAGCCCTGGGGGCCCTCACGGATCGGATCGGCTCGGGAAAGGCCTTGTTCCCGGGCGTCGCCAGGCCAAGCCAGGCCACCTCCGAGCATTTTCTTTGGGTGGAGGGCAAAGGGTGAAGTCTGAAATGCCGTTTCGATGGATATCCGAGGCTTGAACCTGCACAAGGTGAACCGCAAAACGGACTGAGTTTCGAGGGGCAGAAGCACATACGGATTTCACCCTGAGCCCTCCACCCTAAGAAAATGCTCAGTTGCCCTCTCCAGCCTTCCACCCTGAGCCATCCACCGGCAGGTCTCTTGAGGTCGGGCCCCCCTCGCCCCCCCCCTCCTCCTCCTCCTCCTCCTCCTCCTCCCCTCCTCCTCTCCTCCTCCTCCTCCTCCTCCTCCTCCTCTCCTCCTCCTCTTTCTCCTCCTCCTCCCCTCCTCCTCCTCCTCCTCCTCTTTCCTCCTCCTCTCCTCCTCCTCCTCCTCCTCCTCCTCCTCCTCCTCCTCCTCCTCCTAAGAGAACGCTCAGCACCCGCAGACCAGGCCGCGGCCTGTGGCCACGGCCACGGCCACGACCACGGCAGAGGCCACGGGGCGGCGCAGCGCAGTGCTGGGCAGCGATGGGCACGGCACGGGGCCCCGAACGGCGTGGCGCGGCCCTGGCCAGGAAGGATCCACTCGAAGGGTGTGCTTCCTAGCTCGGTAGCCGCCTGCCGATGATAAAAAATGCCCCCTCCCCCCCCCCTTTCCAGGAGTTTGGTCAGGGGCGCGGGGCGCGGAGGCCGAACTTCCATTCGAACGGTTAGCTTGCCTTCGGCTCGAAGTAAGTAGAGAAAACCGACAACGCCTCTCCAGAACTTGAAGAGCGCAACTCGTTTTGTGATCGCAGCTCTGGTCGCAGAACGGTCTCAGGCGTCTGGATACTTTAGAGGTGAACGAAGGCACGAATCTCCGTCCTTCAACAAGGCGGGCGTGTGAAAGCGGACCGGGGGCAGGGACTCCTGCGCGCTCGAGGCTCGAGGTTCGTGCCTCGAGGCGTCCGGGCGCCTTCGTCGGTTCTCGGCGGGTTTCCGGCTTCGGTGTGCTCCCCAGCAGCTGCGCCTCGCCGAGGGCGCTCCAGAGCGGCGCCCGGATCGTCCCGAAAGGCCGCTGGGGGCCAGCGTTATGGCCCCCAAACCACCCGGGTTGGGGATGGGCTCTGGGGTGGAAGAAGGGAGGGACTACGGGGGGGGCGTTCGTCAAGGAATGTATTCAGGAAGCTGCAGGCCCTGGAGGATTCCTTATTTGATGAGGACGGCCGCGGTATCCATGGTTGATCCACGATTGGAGTCCACCAGCTTCCAGACCTTGGATCTCTTATCAAATGTTTCCTTGTCCAATGCCCCCATTGTGTTGCCTCTTCTTTCTTCCCTCCCCCTGATCGTCCTCATCTTCCCCCCTCCTCTTCCCTCCTGTTGCTCTTGCTCCTGGTCCCTCTCCACCCGTTCACGCGTCTGGGAGGCAGGGAGGCAAGGAGGAGGGGGATGAGATGAGAGACAAAAGGAGGGGAAGGACGAGGGGAGGAGAGGGTACGGAGACGGAGAAGGGGAAGGAGGGGGGAATGAGCGAGGAGGAGGAGGAGGAGGAGGAGGAGGAGGAGGAGGAGGAGGAGCAGGAGGAGCAGGAGGGGGAGGACGCGACGCGCTACAGCACGGCATATCGAGTCGTCGGGGCCACCGCCGCGGCATGCTTAGCACAAAGACCTGACCATGCGATCTTGCGTGTTGGTTTTCCGATTGCAGGCTAACCTTCGTGTGCCTCCAGGCTTGCCTGGTGCACTTCGTCGGTGCCACTGGTCTGCGCGGCAGTTGTCCGTGGCTGTCCTGGGAGGGAGAAAGGAAAAGACGACCGCGATCCTCCATCCTCTAGCTCCGTACATGGATCCTCGATCCTCGCTCTCGAACTTCGACCGACCGATCGACATTCGGCCGTGCGCGCCGCCAGGAGCACGGCACCGTACCCCGCGACGGCCTGCTCGGAGGCCTGCCGAGGCGGCAACATGAAATCACGGGCGTTAAAAACGCCCCTACCCTGATTTACGAGGCGCTCTGCGCTGAACCTCCTGTGGGCTGACAGGGTAAACCCTGCATATCGCGCGTGCCTCGCGGCGTCCTCGCGGCTCTCTGGCCTTTGGGAGCTCCCAGAAGGTTCACGGACCACGCACTTGCAACCCAGGGTCGGGGCGGTTTTGCGTCCCTCAGTGAAGAGACGATCTCGACCCTCCAGACTGCAGTTCTGGACGTGGATCCTCGAACCTCGAACTTCGACGGATCGACCGATCGATCAATCGGCCGTGCGCCGCCGCCAGGAGCGCGGCACCGCGCCCCGCGACGGCCTGCCCGGCGGGCCGCCGAGGCGGCCGGCCACGGAGGAGGCCCCAGAGCCCTCCTGCGTGCCCCGCCCCCCCGCCTCGGTGTCGTTTGACCAATCCCCAGCCCCGTCCCCATCCCCTTCGAGACCCCCACCAAATCATTACTCCAGTTGGGAATACTCCGAGAATACTCCCCTCGAAACCAGGAGGGAACGATCTATATCCCCATCCCCATCCCCATCCCCTTCGAGACCCCCACCAAATTACCACCCCAGTTGGGAGTACACCCCTCGAAGCCCAGATGGAACGACCTATATCCCCATCCGGGGGAGTAAGTCGGCCAGTGGGGCCCAGGCCACGCCGCTGGGGATTGAGATCGGTGAAGCGATACTCCCCCCCCCCCAGGGTGGGCCGGGGGCAACGGCAGTCAGAGAAGAACCGGCGTGCCCGCACATGCTTGCAGAGGGCGGCAGCAGTCGAAGAAGAACAGAAAGCACATAAGCATAAGCAAAATTTTTTGGCGCTCCGCGCGGGTTTCTTGGATCCGTGCCTGGGCCCCCCGGCGGCGCCTCCGGCGCCGGCCTTGGCGAGCGGAGCGCGCCAAGAAATCCGCGCGGAGCGCCAAAAGTTTGTGTGTTATGTGGTTTTTCTTCCTCTAAGCAGGGGTTGGTTGGTCGGTTTCGTGCACGTGGCCGTTTTAGCCCTGCACGTTCGTGCGTTCGCACACGTGGCTTCGTTCGTGCACGTGTCCGTTTTAGCCCTGCAGCGCTCACGGCGCGCATACACAGCACATGATCGAAGAACGAACGACTACGGTGGAGGCGTTGGTTAAGGAATGTGCCCGAGAGGCTTCAGACCCTGGAGGACTCCTTAGCTGATGAGGGTGGCGGTGATGTCCATGACCAGTCTACGATCGGAGTTCCACCAACTTCCAGACCGTAGGAGTTCCACCAACTTCCAGGTCCTAGCTTCCCTATCCAAGGGTTCCTCGTCCAATGCACTCACCGTGCGTACGGTCAGGAATCTTGGCTTAGCGTGTCGCGCCGCCAGTTTTTGGCCCGCCATGCTTCGGCGCGACACGCTATCCGCGCCCCCACTCCCCCACTCCCAAGCGTCAGCGCCCCGAGCTTTCCGCACCTCCCGCCCGCGCAACGGAGCAACGGGCTACAGCACGGCATAGCGTGTCGTCGGGGCCACCGCCGCGGCATGCTTAGCACAACTTCCTGACCGTACTGTTTTGCGTGTTGGTTTTCCGATTGCAGGCTAACCCTCGTGTGTCTCCAGGCTTGCCTGGTGCACTTCGTCGGTGCCACTGGTCTGCGTGGCCGTTGTCCGTGGCTCTTCTGGGAGGGAACAAGTCTGTCAGCCAGCGTGGTGACCCCTAAACAGGAAGTTGTTGCACTGGATGTGTAAGCTATGTGCTACAGTATACGCGGAGCAAGCTAGATACAACAACGAGGCGGCAACGGGCGTCAACGTGGCGGAGCCTCGTGGGACCCATCTAGCGCACGAGGCGGCAACCAGGTGGCAACGAGCGGCAACGGGGCGCAGCCTCGCCGGGCCAGGCGGCACCGTGGCGAAACCTCGCCTGACCCACCAAGCGCGGTGGGCGGCAACGAGGCGGCAGCGGGCGGCAACGTCGCTAAACCTCGAATGACCACCAAGCGCGGTGGGCGGCAACGAGGCGTCAACAGGCGCACTTTGTCAGCAAGGACACCGTAACAGGCCTTCAGAGGCCGAGGTTGAGGACATTCCGCCAGCAAGACTTGGGAAGGCCTTGTGGCCAGTGCCGCCGACCCTCAAAGGGGACGGCGACGGCGGCGGCGGCGGCGACGACGACGCTGAAGCTCTGGAGCCCTTCTTGGGGCTCTCTTGGGAGCCTCTTGGGCTCTGTTGGGTTGGGTGACTCCTTTGGGAAGCTCCGTGGTCAATTGGAGCCACCTCGGAGTTTCTGGAACGAGCCGAGTACGTACGACATCGGAGGTCTGAGGACGCCTCCCTGGTGCGCTCCGGCGGTCTCTGGCATCGCCTTGGCAAAACGGCGCCTAAGTGGACCTTTCCGCGCATGGGGAGGGGAAGGACCAGAGCAAACCCCAGATGCGTCAAAGATGCTGCAGTACACCCTCCCACACCCTCCCGTCCCAAGTCCCCGCCGCGTAGGTCCCTACAAGTATTCGGTACCTTTGGTATGCTCACTCTTTCTCTCAGGCCACGGTTGACTTCAGAGTCTGCCTGCCGCAGGTCGGCTCTTGGGGTGCTCTTGTTCTGCCTGGCGACTGTTTGAATCGCATGGCGGCTGAGGTTGAGTAAATGGTAAAGCGGCCCCTTGTCTGATGAAGAGAATTCCCTGCAAGTGCTCCTCTCCACTGTGGGAAGCGTCCCCCTTGAGTGACGAGCGCCCAGTGAGCTTGTTTCATGTTTTGTAGAAAACCACTCTGATCCCCAATCAGAGCTTGCCTCTGCAGGGGTCCTAGCGGATTCATATGGTTAGGTTAGGTTCGTCGCAGATTTCGGTGGCCGGCCCTGGTGCCCGGGTGCCCGGGTGCCGGGGGGCCCGGCACCCCCGGGAGCCCGGGTGCCTGGGTGTCCGGGGGTGCCCGGAGGTGCCCGGGGGTGCCCGGAGGTGCCTGGGGGTGCCCGGGTGCCTGGGTGCCCGGCAGCCTTATAGCCCTATAGCCCTATAGCCTTATAGCCCGATAACCCTATAGCCGTATAGACCTATAGCCCTATAGCCTTCTAGCCATAGGGCCTATATGCCTATAGTCCTGTAGCCCTATAGTCCTATAGCCCTATAGCCCTATAGCCCCAGAGCCTTATAGCCCTATAGCCTTATAGCCATATAACCCCATAGCCCTATAACCCTAACAAGATTATGATTGGGCTTTTTCTCTCCGGTCTCATTGCGTAGAGGATCCATCCCCCGTCGTCCTAATTCGAAGAAGCGCAACAGGGTAGGATGACGAAGTTGTAAGACATGTCCGGCGATAGCCCCTTTTGAAACGGATTTTCCATTCATCCATGTGGGCGTTGCACAAGTTCACGGCTCTTGCCATAATATTGACGGAAGTCTTAAGCGAGAGCCACATCTAAAGAGGAGCCGCTTTCGATCCATGCAGTGGTTGCAGAACTTGAGACAGACAGCATGTCATCTTAGGGTCATCGCATTTCAGACAGCACGCGGTAGCCGCATTCGAAGCCCGGCCCACCATCCGTATAATTGTTGTTCCGTTCAGGATGAATGTGCGTGCCGCCAAAGTAAGAGCAGCATTTTGAAACCGCCCTCCTTCCGAGCAGTTGTCGAAGTTGTGGCGTTGAGTTGGGAGCTGGCGTTTTGAAAACAACCGGCCCTCCTCCCTTGCAAGTGTTGAACTTTTAGTTTCAGGACGACAAGTTGTAAAGAAGTCTCAGCGAACCGCCCGGCCCTGTTTGCGGACACGTCTGGTTGTGAGACGGGGTGCGTCACGTATAGATGAGGAATGGAGGACAGGAGAAGAAGGAAAGTGAGGAGGAGAGGGGCAGAAGGAGTGATAATAATTATCATGAGAAGACGGACAAAAAGAAGAGAGCAGGAGGAGGACGAGGGAGGAGGGAGGCACAATCCACGCAAAAGGGTGTCCAAATGGTAGGCGCGAGCAGGAACTCCGTGGATCACTGCGCAGGCCTGGCCCCCCCACAGACCATCGAGCGGCCGGGCGGCAGCACGAGGAGGTGGACTATCAGTCCCAGAGCAAGGCGAGGGGAGGCGGCGGCGGCGGCGGAGTGCGCGTCGCTAACGGGGCGCGACGTCCGGGATCCTGCATGCCCTGCGGTCGCGTGCTGTCCGGAGACAGCGCAGCACATCGTTTCGGTGCCTGCCGACGTATGGCCACGCATGGGCTCGAGAGCTTTTGCGGCTCGTCGGCCAGCGTGCAGTCTTCCGCCGCACGCTGGCGCAGCTCCGCCGTGGTGACAGGCTGCGCTCGTCGACGGGGCGGTCGGTTGCTATGTGGGGGAAACATGGATCGTGGCCAGAAGCAGTTTGGTGGCGAAGCACGCCATGCAGATGGTGCAAGTCTTCTGTTTGATGCATGGTATCCAGGGGATGAGGTGGAAGAGGAGGAGGAGGAAGAGGAGGAGGAGGAGGAGGAGGAGGAAGATAAGGGAGACAGCTCGCGGCCCACAGGCTGGATTCACGCGTGGCCCGGTAGAGTGTGTAGATACGCGTGAGAAACACTGACCTGCGCCAATATATTCCCACGTGTCTTGGTGGCCACAGCGATACGCAACACCGACCCGATGCAGCGCAGGAGAGGCGGAGGAGGTGGGCGATCTCTGGGAGAAGGCGATCCGGAAAATAGTTGATACGAGTTATCATCATGAAAGCCAATCGATGAATCAACACGTCAAGAAATCATGTATGTACATATTTTTCGGGGGGTCCTTTGGGACCCTGCTGGGGCAGTCTTGAGTGCGTCGTGGGTCGTCTTGGAGCCTCCTTGGGGCATCTTGAGGCCAGATTGGGTCCACTTGTATGCTGTCTTGGCGAGGCTGGGACTGCAGCGGGGCCCCGGTCAGCAGAACTCCAACAGGAGGCTGGCCTGGGACTGCAGTAGGGACTTGGGACAGCCAGGCTGGGGGAAGTCCCCGTGGAGAGGAGCAGGAGGAGAAGGAGGGAGAAGGAGGAGCAGGGGAGGGGAGGAAGAGGGGGAGGAGGAGGATGATGATGAGGAGGAGGAAGAGGATGATGATGATGATGATGATGATGATGATGATGATGAGGAGGAGGAGGAGGAGGAGGAGGAGGAGGAGGAGGAGGAGGAGTGAGGAGGAGGAGGAGGAGGAGGACGAGGAGGAGGAGGAGGAAGAGGAGGACAAGGAGGAGAAGAAGGAGGAAGAGGAGGAGAAGGAGGAGGAGGAGGAGGAGAAGGAAGAGGAAGAGACGGAAGAAACGGGGGACGACGAGGATGAGAGAACCAGAACATCACACTAAGTTTAGACGCTCCGTCTAACCCCCCAAGCCCATCCAGAAACGACGCCTAGGCGAGTTGCCTTGATCAGGCGTGTGGGGGAACACGCAGTGGAATTCGCCGGCCCAACGGGCCAAGGGCGTGCTAGGATCTCCGGTAACTGGCTAACAATATTTCTAGTTCGCGCGCGGGACCGCCCCTGGGGGTCCCCGGACGAAAAGTATTCCCGCAAGTCCTGGCCAAGTCCCGGTCAGGTCCCGGCCAGGTCCCAGCAGGCTCCCAAGAGCGCTCCAGGAGCGCTTCAAGTGGCCTCCAAGACAGCTCAACATGGTCCGAGACGGTCCCAAAGCGATCCAGGACGCCAAAGATTGCCTCCAGACAGCTCAAAGCGGTTTCAAGACGCCTAAAGACTCCAAGATACCTCCCAAGAGGGCCCACAGAGGCAGAAATGAGTGGTTTTTCCTTCAGTTTCTGACGGTTTTTGGCGTTCTCGCCTTTTCGGCTCACCGGCGCTCCAAGACGGCCCAAGAGGCTTCCAAGACCGCCCCAAGACGGCCCACGAAGCTTCCAAGAGGGCCCCAAGACGGCCAGGATGGCCCCAAGACAGCCAAAGAGGCGCCCAAGACAGCCCAAGAGAGCCCCAAAACGGCCCCAAGTGGGGCCCAAGAAAGGGACCAGTAACCGAAAAGTCCAGCCTTCAGCCCCGAGAGGCCCCCAGGAGGCCCCAAGAGGCCCCCAAGAGGCCCCCAAGAGGCGCCAAGGGGCCTTCAAGCGGCACCCCAAGAAGCCCCAAGAGGCCCCCAAGAGGCCCCAAGAGTCCCCGACACGGCCCCCAAGAGGCCTCAAACTGCCTCCCAAAGGTCACTGAGAGGCCAACCACGAGAGCCCAACCAACATCCGTGAGGCCTCTGACCCGCCACCCACCGCCTCTGAAAAATGGCAGCCGCCCAACCGCACCGCATTGACAACAACACCCTGACAAACGACAGCGGCGAGGCAATATGGGCCGGCTGAATGAGCGAAGCGATGAAACAAAAGCTGGGAAGCCGTCATAACTCGAGAGGGGGAGGACGGAGGAAGGGACAAGGAGTAGGGGGAGGGAAGGGGAGGGACGTCCGAGTTCAGGTTTAATTGCCCAGACGGCCGACGTCGTGTTTTTTGTTTTGTTGTCATTCGCCTGATCCAGCTGCGAGTGCCGCAAGACAGGTGGAAATAAAGGGAAGGGCTACAGGACGAAGGTGTGCGTGGGAAGGACGGGGCGACGTTGCTGATGGGGTCGCGAAGGTCGGCCGTAACAGGCTACATCTGGATGTAACCCGTTACGGCTGATCTGCGCATCAGTCGGCGCGCGTTTTTCCATTGGGGCCTTCGGGAAAGCTCCCGATGTGGCCACGAATGTCGTGAAGGGTGCGCCGAAATACTGAGGAGAAGGCATCTAGGCGCAACCACTGGGGCCTGAGGTGTACGGGGCCACGACACATGCATGGAATGCGCCGAAATAGTGTGGATAAGGGATGCGAACGCAGCCACTGGCTCAGGTGGAGCTCACTATGGGGCCACGAAGCGAGTGAGGAATGCGCCGACATAGTGTGGAGAAGGCATGCGAAGACAGCCGCTGGCGCCTCAGGTGGAGCTCCCTATGGGGCCACGAAGCACCTGAGGGGTGTGACGAAATGGTGTGGAGAATGCATGCCAGCGCAGCCACTGGGGGCCTTAGGCGGAGCCCCCTGTGGGGCCACGCAGCGTGTGAGGGTGCGCCGAAACGGTGTGGATCATGCAAGCGAACGCAGCCGCTACCCAGCCGCTGGGGCCTTGGGTGGGGCTCCCTCTCGGGCCACGAAGCTTGCGAGGGGTACGCCGGCCTGGCGTTGTCCAGGTTTGTGAACCCAGCCACTTGGGCCTCGGGTGGAGATCCCTACGGGGCCACGAAGCGCCTTGGGGTGCGCCGAAGCAGAGACCACGGAGGGCGGGGGCAGAGAGGGGACGTGCGGGAGGAAAGGCAGGAGCAGAGATGAGTGAGCGAGGCGCGGGGCGCTGCTGGCTTGAAGCGAGGGCCCAAGTTATTTCGGCGTTCGGAGGCCCGTCTTCGGTCCCTGGACCGGCAAGAAGCGGCTCGGGATGAAGCGGCGGCCCCGGGGAAGGGGGCGATAGCTCCAGAGGCCCAGTGTGGAACAACGCGCACGGCGTCCGAGGGTTATTTCCCTAGTTTTCCTGGTTAGGGAGGTCTTCCTCCGCTCCGACGTCACTGCTGGGCGCAGGGCCCTAGGACGTTCTCTGACAAGTCGGGCGGACCACGTCCCGCTGAATCCTCAGGGCACGCAGCCGCGCTCGCGCATCGCTCGTACAAAGCGCGTTCCACGCGCCCGTGTGCTCGTTGAGGTCATAGCCAGATGAGTGTTGCCAACAAGTTGCGGGTGGGAGGGTGCAACATTTTCGCGAGAGGTGGATTTGACGACTCCAAGATCTGCGAAACTAATCCGTTTGTCTGAGTAATCTGAATCTACTCTCCCTCCGAGGCTGGGGATAACGCCCCGCAGCCCGCGTATTGTTTCATCCTTTCGAGTCAGCACGATCGCTCATCCTGAATCTCAAAAGATGCTAATCAGGCCTCTATCGGCACCCCCGGCCCTGCCATCTCATGCCGAATTCATAATGCGGTGCACACGCGTTGATCCACAATGTGCTTTTCCTCAGAATCCCTCGCAGCACAATTCCTTATGGGGCTCATGCGCGCGCCGCCGCGTGCACACACGCCCAAACAAGTCAACAACACTTTTAAAGCATAATGGCGGGTTCAAGACATGGCTAGACAGTTTCCAGCATTCTGCGCGCGCACTCGCTGAAATCGTCAGACAACCATGTCTGTATTCAGCCATTCTGTGAAATCGGAGCATGCGGGCTGCATGCGCGCGCATGACGAACATGTTCAATCACCATCGCGCGCCCACCAGCTCTGTCAAGCACTGCTACGCGGGCCACACGCGTGCGTCTCCGCGCGCGTGCGTCAACATTCGTCGAACATCCGTGGCTTTCTAAACATATCAGCACAGAGGTGTTCAACAGCACACGAAAGCCAAATGGTTTTCAATGAACGTGTCGCGATGCCTGGATTTTCGCGTCATCCTCACCAGGACAACCATTAATTATCATCACCGCATCAGTAATCGCGCACATATTTTATCGCGTATATTGCACCGCATGTGTGACATTTTACTGTGCTCAGGATGCACATCGTGAAGTCTGGGCAAGCATGTTTCAGGGCGAGGTCCCTCGAGCTCTCGACCCCTCCCCAAAGACTGTTTTTCCGTCCTGGGACGATGTTTGATGGGGACCGAGAAGGTGGTCCCACCTAGAGGCCACGATCTGCGAAAAGCCTCCCGTCTTGATGTTGTCACGACGTTGGAGGTCCGGTGCGCTCTTCTGGGAAGCCGACCCCAGGGACCCCTCCCGGGATGTGTTCCGACCAGGATCTCTCTAGGCGGGCCCGACGAGAAGCCTCGCAGGGGTATGAAGAGGGACCACGATCCCATTCGTGATCGTTTTCTTAGCCATTGTTTTGCCGATCGGCGCGGGCCCTCGCACCCCCCCCTGCGCCCCCTTATGGAGTAGATCTTGGCTGTTTCTGGCGCCCGTTTCGAGCAGGTGGGGCCTCCCCCCTAGGACGCACTGTTGCAAGCAGTCGCATTCAGCTGTGGTCCAGAGCCAGACACCCCCCCCAATCCTCCCCCCTTTCCGCCCCAGTGCCGAAACGCCGAATCAGAGAACGTTCACTGCTTCCCTGAAGCTCTCGGTGGCCTTCCCCCTTCCCCCCCGGTCTCTCCCCCGCGCCCTGCCGTGCGAGGAGGCGGAGGAGGAGGAGGGCGAGGAGGAGGAGGAGGAGGAGGAGGAGGAGGAGGAGGACAGGAGGGCGCCCTCCTCCTCCTCGCCCTCCTCCTCCTCCTCCTCGCCCCGCGCCCTGCCGTGCAGGCCTCCTCCGCCACCGCGGCGAGGCCAGCGAGCCGCGAAGAGCGGATGAGGGAG